TTTCATTTTGATCCTTGAAAATACGTAACAAGTGTGCCAAGAGAGCACAATGTCTCGAGCTTCTCAAGATCTTCCCAAATTTTTTCATTTTCCATATTTTCATATTCAAAAGCTTTACCAAAGCACTTATCTTCTAGAACTTGTTTCTTTTTATTTCCTTTCTTTTCTTTTCATTTAATTTCTTTCCCTTTCTTCCCTTTTCTTTCCTTTTCTTTTCTTTTCTTTCCTTTTCTTTCCTTTCCTTTTCTTCCCTTTTCTTTCCTTTTCATTTCTTTCTTTTCCTTTTCTCTCCTTTTCCAAATCCATTCCCTCACAAATCATTCGTTCTTTTCGTTTTGAAAAGCCAAAAAACTTTTGAAGTTTCTCCAGAGAAAGGATTTGAAGTGCTTTTGACAGCTTATCGTTTCTTTTGATTTCAAAATTTTCAAAAACTAAACACCAGCAAAGATTGGATGTACTTTGGGCTCTTTGTGCGTTCTTCGTGCGCTCTTGGTGCGTTCTTCGTGCGCTCTTGATGCGCTCTTTGTGCGCTCTTCGTGCGCTCTTTGTGCTCTCTTTATACTCTCTTTGTACTCTCTTTATACTCTCTTTATACTCTCTTTATACTCTCTTTGTACTCTCTTTCTCCTATCCTTGTACTCTCTTTATACTCTCTTTGTACTCTCTTTGTACTCTCTTTGTAACAAAGCACTCTCTTTGGCCTCTTTACTTATACTCTCTTCCCCTTCTAGTGCATTGAATTCTTAATTTTTCTCAAAACCTCAAAAAAATTCATGAAGTGTCGGTGCAGTGAAGAGATTTGTTTACAAAAAAAACTAAGTACATTCAATTCAAATATTTGCTTTTAGTAAAATTCAATTTTCTTTTCCTTTTTTGTAAATTTTTAATCTTTTCTTTCAATCTTTCCCAGATCTGAACGTTTTTTTACTTTTACAAGAGGTATTCAGGGTTCGTTTCATCGATTTTCCGGAAACAAATTTAGCACCAAAAACTTTCTGTAAACTTTCTTTTGAGCAAAAGCAAAAGTAGAAATTTTCATTTGGCTAGCAAATTTCACTCAAATTTTATCCGATATTTCTGTTCGAGGCTTCTCTCTAATCATGCCTTTATTCTTTTTCTTAGCATTCTTTGTGAAAATTTTTGAATGAAAATGAAATTTCTCTGATTTTCCTTGTGCTTGTTCGTTTGATCCCACCTTTTATTTATTCAAGAAAAAGCTTTTCACAGGCATGAGAAAATTTTAGAATCGAATTAAAATTGAATTTCCGAAAGAAGTGAAAATTTTTATTTAGCTAAACGGAAACCTTTGTTGGTTATCCCAAATTTATGGTTTATGCTGGAATACTTTGTTTTCTATTTTTAAAGCTTTCTTTTCCTATTTTTAAACATTCGATAGCTTTCTTTATGATGTTTCTGCTGAAATTAGATAGCCTAAGATCACCTTAGGTAATTTAATTCAACACTTTTCAAAGTTCTTGAAAACAAAAACCTTTCTCCCCGGCAGGAATTGAACCCGGATCTCGCATGTGACAGACGCGGATACCAGCTCACTATATACTACCGAGGATCTACCGAGGCTCCTCAGATATTAGCTTATAAACTGGCAAAGCGTCCAAAAATACATTCAAAACAGTACCAAATACGTTGTTTTAATGGAGAGCTGGAAGAGCAAATCGCTCAGAACGCAAAAAGCAGGATGTGAAGGAGCACTATAGACTACCCCAATGACGAACTGTCACACTATAAACACTTCTAACCCGCTTCAAATCTACCGCATTCACATGATCTATCGCTCAAAAAATAGAGAATCATAAGAGCTTACGAATGAACTAAAGCACACTCAAAAATATCATGAGATTCTAAAGAAAGTTGAAGTGGTTCGGTATGGCTTCAACTTCGCGCGCGAGTACCGACCTGTTTTGAGTGGGGACTGCAAACCACTGTAACTTTCTTTAGCATTCATCTTTTGCGTGTGCTTTGAAAATATTGGAAATGCTTGAAGTCTCTATTACCTCGGGGGAGAAACGTTTTTGTTTTTAAGGGTGATCAACCAGATAGTCGAAGCTTTTAAAGAGACATCGCGCCTCTCTCATGTGATTGCGGTGGAAGAGCCGAAAGTTAGAAATGTTTGTAGTCTCCGTTTGTGTAGTTTGTAGTGGTGCCCATGTCTGGTATTTATTTAGAAGTCGCCGAAATACAATGGAAATAGTTTCACACAATCTTTTACCCAATGCTTTTACTTTTATTGGCTTTGCTTTACTCAGTTGAGATCTCGACCGAGGAAATGTTTCGTTGTTTTTTGCCGACCACCTAGCTCAAATTTCCTTTAATTTGTCCCAAATCGAAATGTTTTTCGAAGAAATCCAATATTTCTTCTTCTTCTTCTTTTTCTTCTTCTTTCACTCTCTCTTTTCCTCATTTCATTCATCCCGAAACAGATTCTTGAATGCAAAGGAAGCAGTTCGAAACCCGAAATGATCTCTTCTCTCTGAGCATTTCTTCAACTCACTTCATTTCCCCCATCTATTCTATTCAAAATGTAAACCAATTTCTTTTGTCATTCTTAAGTAAACGACAATATTCTTTTCAGAGAATTGTTCAAATTGTTGGAAATGTTGAAATTCTTGAAATTCTTACAATTGTTGCGTTTTAAGGCAAAATCTCATTTTTTTCTCTTCCCTTAAAGACCACTTAAAGCCTTTGCCTGTATCGATTTTTGTCTTATTTTTACATTCTTTTCTTACATTTTAAACCTTTCGTAAGGCTTAAAGAGAAATGTACTTTTAAAACTCTATTTTTAGTTTTGTAAAAGAAACTTATTACAGCTTATTGCATCAATCCAAATTATTGAAAACACCTGCTTACCGATGTTTGCTTTTGTTTTTACCCGACTTACAAGCTGTTCATTATTTTTGGTGAAAACCTGACAATTAAGTCTATCAACAGCAATTAAAATTGACAAGTCGAAAAAAGACACCTATTTCCTTCTTTTACTTTTTACTTTTTAACAACCTTCTCTTTTTTTTTCTTTCTTTCTTTCTTTCTGTCTTCTTTCGTCTTCTTTCTTCTTCCTTCCCATTTCTCCGTCCACTTTACTTCCCTTGATTGTATTGTGGCTGAAGTGAGAATTTCCATTTTCACAAATTTTGCATGACTCGGGATTTCTTCTAGAGCTGACGTTTTGAAGTTACTTTCTGTTAGCCAACAGATCAGGGTCAGGAAAATACCTAAAGAGAAATTGGTCATTAACAATAAGCCACGAGAAAACTTGAGAGTTTTTCTGGTACTATTGGGTTGGACGAAAAGTTCGTGCTGTTTGTTTTTGGGAGAGGGTTTCAAACTCAATTAATTTCGACATGTAATAGCTCGTTCGAAAGCTAATTATCAAGCGGATTCAATGAAAAAACCGCTTACTATTTCATTGCACTTTAAAGTTTTTTATAGAGGTTTTAGTAGAGATGGTCAGATCCTAAAGTTCGGAGGGACGAGCCAGAACAATTTTACACGTGTTTCTAGGTTATTTTTGCATGTTCCAGAGTAATCAAATACGCTTAATCTATTGGTGATATTTTTAAAGTGTTTTGAATAGTTTTCACTTTGGATTTGGCCTCATTTTCTAGCATTGCGGCACTGCAAAAGTTATACGTTTCAACGTTTTTCAACTAAAAAGTCACAAAAACAAAGCTTCCGCCACAGAAAATGCTGTTAAAAACGTAACTTAGTTTTATCCTCTTTGTTTCCTGCAAAAACAAACTCGCTCACACCAGAAAAACGCAAAAAAATGAAATTTCGCGCAAATTGGCAAGGGTACGGTAGTTTTACCACGCTTTAAAGCGCCAACCGCCAACGGTAGTCTCGGAAAAACGTCGCAAGTGTCCATTTTCCCCATTTTCCCCATTTTTCCCATTTTTTTCATTTTTTCTCATTTTAATTGGAATTCTTTTATTTTATAAGTTTATTTTTTGTTTTTCTAATTGTAAAGTTCTTTACCTATCCCTTTGCAGGCCACTTTGAAAGTAATTGAACAATAATAATCGAATCTTTAGAGCTAAAGTCGATTTGGTCCCCAATTCTCAGTGCAATAGATTGATTAGCCCAGAACCGTATCATTGTTACGTCACACTCATTGGGGGCCACTCCTCCAGCTACCCCGAGCAGTGGCCTTCCCTTTCCCCTTTCCCCCACACTCATCCACTCAATCCATTTCCAATCTAAATCCTCTCAAACTCCTTTTCTTTTCAAAGACACTTGAGAGAAAGTTTCCAAATTTGGAGAATCATTCAATCCTTGAGAATATTTGCATTTGTACAGTTTTGGATTGAAAGAAATGAAAGAAATAGAAAGAATTGAATGAAATGAATGAATTGAGATCCCCGCCCCATTCTCGATCCTTTTCGAGTGCCCAATTTCAGTGAGATCGCCAAATTCAAACGTTGGATGAACTTTTAAAAAAATTATAACCAGATATGATAATTTTATTTGAAATTTCCTATTGCTTAATGTATAATTTTTCTTTTTCATTTCCCCGTCGCTTTCTTTGAATTTTGCTCTTTATGCTATTGTAAACACACTCTTTCTAGAGCACTGAATTCTTCATTTGAATCCGCTGTTCAAAGTGCACGGCTTCATTGCGTGGATTTTGTGTGCTTCGTGCAAAGGCGCCTTCTCTAGGGCACTGAAGTCTTTCTTTTCTATAGAGGAATACTGTGCACTAGAAAGAGTACGTTTACAGGGATTTGAAGCACAACACGTACTGCTAAAGCTTTGTCATCTGTTCGACCTTTTTTTTCGACCTTTCTCGACCATCAATCTCACTCTTCTTTTCTTTTTTTCCCGATTTTTGTTTACTCTTTAATCGGTCACTCTCATTCTTGACTAAAATTTGTTTTTTTAAACTTAATAATATATATTTCTAGATTCGAATTCCCCTTTTTCATCTAAATTGACAATTTCGAGATTCTATTTCGATTTTGAGGGATTTTGAGGGAAAACAAACGACAATGCGAGAGTTTTTGAGGATATTTTCAGGTTTGACATTTTTTTGGAGAATGTAAGTGCTAACATTTAACAGTATTAAAATAGATTTTTCACGAGAAAAATGTTTTTTTTTTTGCGTCTGCTCAAATACAAAGCTTTTTCACTGAATCAAAGTCAATCAAATAGCCTTTTCTCTACAGGAACCAAGTCTGTAGGGAAAAGGAACTAAATCTGTAGGGAAAAGGAACCAAATCTGTAGGGATAAGGAACTAAATCTGTAGAGAAAAGGAACCAAATCTGTAGAGAAAAGGAACCAATCCTTTTTTTGGTCTGAAAAACGATTTTTGATCAAAGAAAGTGTAGAAATTTGAAGGGAAATTTGTGGAAAATATTTGAATTTTTGAAATTTCTAGTTAGATTTTTATCTGATTGAAGTTTTTCTTTGAGAAATTTTGTGATGAAACAAAAAAAATGAAATGACTAACGATAAAGAAAAGTTTGTTTTCTCTTTGTGCTCTCTTTGTGCTCTAAAAGAAAAAAAAAACAAAAAAATGGATTTTGCTCTCAAAAATTTAAATATCATCTGACTAGCGCATTGAATTCTTTTTGTTTTTTTGCGAAAATGAAGAACTCAACTGAAGAACCCAATGCTACCGCCCTCGAAATTTAGCTTTCCACTAAAAGTTGACCTATTCTAGCGTAAACGTAAACTTAAAACACTTCAAACAGTCCGTTTTACCGTTTTCTTCAAAAAAAAACCCCCAATTGACACCAAATTGACCAAATTTGTGAGTGCTTTTTTTCTTCGAGGAGTTTCTTCGAGTTTCTTCGAGGCGATTGACCCGTTTTCGGAAGAAATCGTGCGCAATTTGCATCGTATTTTCAAGAAAAATAAACATAATAAAGCAAAAAGGAGGTGAATTGAATGCGAAAAATATTTGAATAAGAAACTCTGGAATTGAAAGAAATTCTGGAAATTTTCGAAGAAAAACGAATTTCAATTACTAAAATTTACTTACAATTAAAATCTACAATTAATTAAAATAACGATTTTAGGGAACGATTTTCAGCGTCACTTTTGCTCTCATCGATCTCAGCCGGATATCTCTACGATCGATGGGGAAATGTCAATGATGATAATGCAGTGAATAGTGTTTTTGAGAGGTCAGAGCTAAAAGAAGACTTTATTTAGTGCAAAAAGTTTGAGTTTTAACCAAAAAAAAAAAAAAAAAAAAAAAAATCTTTCTTTAAAAAAAAAATTTTTTTTTTTTATTTTTTAATTTTTTAAAAAAAAAAAATTTTTTTTTTTTTTTTTTTTTTATTTTTAAAAAAAAAATGCTGATGGATTTGAATGAAGATCAAAGAGTCAAAGAGATCAAAGAGAAAGAGATGAAGCCACACTAACCACTAGGCTATGAGCTGAGCTTTTTCTAGAGCACTGAATTCTTCATTTGGATTCAATTGTGCCAAGAAGCGTGCGTTTATGCGTGGCGTGCAAGCACAAAGCGAAAGAAAAGCCTTTCAGTGTGCCAGAAATTTTTTTTTTTTTTTTTTTTTTTTTTGTTTTTGGTTTTTTTTTTTTTTTTTTAGCTTAATATGATTTTTTTTTTTTTTTTAAAAAAAAAAAAAAATGGAAATTTTTTTTTAGTGCCAAAAACCCCAATTTTTTTTTTTCATCGAGAAATCCCTTTTTTCTCGAAATTCAAATGCCGATAACTTTGTGCGTTTTGCTGTTTAAAGCTTTTTGAAAACACTTTCTAAACATACATTTTCAGGCCTTTCTTTTGTCACCAAACTCATATTGTAATTCGCGGGTAACTTGGCAAGGGAACCTTGTAAAATAGCTCTATGGAAAATAGGTTTTTCCATAATTTGCAAAATTTAGTTACACTGATATAATCAAAGGGGTTCTGATCTTAAATCCCTCAGACACTTGTCTCAATTTTAACTCGCGGGTAACTTGGGAAGGGACCTTTGTTAGTTTTGAGTCTAGATTGATGAAAATGCCAAAAGAAAACGCCGGGATTCGAACCCGAGGCCTTTCGCTTACCGAACGGCAAACGCTCTACCAATGAACTATAGCGTCTCATTGCCGCCAGGGTCGGACCTTAGGCCGGATGGATTAGATGATGGGTTACGGGCACTGTTCATGCCTGTAACCATTGTTATCTATTACCATTCATGAGTATCACCTGGTTTGATATGGAAATCTGGTTCTGGGTCATCCCTGGAGCCTGTAGTTGCCGTTCATTTCAGACTCCGAGGTAAAAAGCTAACTTTTTGAAAAGTCAGGTCGGGCTAAGAGTATAACCACAGCCTAGAACCTACTAACAATCATTGTACCAAGTCACAAGTACTGTACCCCTCATAATCTCTTTGCAGACCCCGTCCTCCACCGTCCTCTCCTCGTGGTTCCACCTCAAACCTTGGTTGTTTCTTTTGCACTCAATTACTATCTGTGACGAAACACCGTGTCGGTCTCTCTCAAAATCAGCTTCGAAATGTGCTCTACGAGAAGTGTCGCGTGCTTCCACAGGTCTTAAGGGTTTGTGCAAAGCCAATAAACCAGTGTTGATAACATTTTGAATAAAAAATTGCATGATTCTAAAAACAATATGGAAATGAATTTAATGGAAATGAATGAATGGAAATGAGTGGAATGTTTAGGAACAATGTTTCACTTTTGTCGATCGATCGTTACTGGAGATTTATTTCTCTTTGAACTACGATTTCTCATCGAAAAATGTGTGCGTTACGCTCAATTTGTGCGATGAAGCGAGGTGAGATCCACCTAGAAAAGTTACCGTTACAAGTTGCAGTTACAAGTTACGAGTTACAAGTTACCGTTACAAGTTACCGTTACAAGCTACCGCTAAAGTTACCCTTACAAGTTACCATTACAAAGTTACCGTTACAAGTTACCATTACAAGTTACAAGCTTAACCAAAAGCTTTGAAAGGATAAGGCTACCGAATAAGAGTAAAAGGGAATGGTAAGTAGAGAGAAAGCATTGGGAGAATAGCAGCCTAGGGAAATAGCTGAATAGCTGAATAGTTGAATAGCTGAATAGCTAGAATAGCTAGAATAGCTAGAATGGCTGAATAGTATTGTATTAAAAGATTCAGTCCATTTGCGATCGCCTCCCCTCCACCAACCCTTCCCCCTCCACCACCATCAACCACGGCCAGAACTTCCCCCACCTCCACCAATTCCCTCCATTCCCTCCATTCCCCTCCATTCCACTCCATTCCGTAAATGCCAGAAGAAAAGAAGACCCGATCGAGTCAGAGATCCCAAAAGGGACACCAATCTTACAATGAAAGTTAGTTCATCTTTTCGTTTTCGTTTTCAAAGAGAGATTCTTTTTCTAGGACCCACCGCCGTCCATCCGTCCCCCACAAATCCCATCGACAATCATAATCTCCCCCTTCTCCCCCTTCTCCACCCTCACCTCCATCACCCCCAGAATAAACAGTCCCACAGAACCCTATATTGAGACAGGGAAATGGAAATGATCGAAGAAGAAAAAGAGAACGAGAGACATTGCAGGGGATAAAGGACAAGGTTGGGCACAAGAATGAGAATAGAGAACAGGTGAGGGAAATGAGACTCGAGAAAAAGGACCGAGAACCGAGAAAGGGTTTAAATTTAATATCTGGGGCTGGAGCAACTAATCTAAACAATAAAGATTCTAAAAAATGACGAAGATAAAAGGTTTTTTTTTTTTCATTTCATTTCTTTAACTTTTTCAAAAATGACATTTCAAAGATTTTTCGAGTTGGAACAAAAGCGAATGACGATGCTAAATTCTGCGAGCGAATGTTGGAAAACGCTAAACAGTACGCAGTGACGGCACAAAAGTAAAAAAGAAAACTGGGGGGAATGAATGAATGATATTTATTTCAGTCAGACATCACCTCATTCGCTAACAACGCTTGTGCTCAAATGCAAAGAGGACGAACACAGGTTATCAACAAATTAGGCATCAAAAATAGCATTCAAATCGAAAAAGAATAGTAAATATTGTTTTATATAGCATTGAAATCAAAAATTGAATCAAATTGAATCAAATTAAATCAAAAAAAAAACTTTATTAGAATGAATCCAAGAAAAAAAAATAATCCCTTAAACTTTATTTGAAACAATGAAATTGTAAAACGGTGCACTGTGCCCAAAAAGCCCTTTTCCGTGATTAGAGAGAGATTTGAATCCACCGCCGTCGGGCTCTTGTGGCGCAATCGGCAGCGCGTTCGGCTGTTAACCGAAAGGTCGATGGTTCGAACCCATCCAGGAGCGAAATTTTTTTCTATTTTCTAGAATTTGAAGTTAATCTAAAGTCGAAAATCTCTCAGGATCAATGCTACGAGTTGGCCGATAAGAAAATCGACGAGTTGGCGAAATTCGTCGATCATCAAGTGATCGAGAGCGCTTTGGTGTGCCAGATTGAATCATTGCTAGAAATCGAGATAGACTAAACAAGATTTTATACGATAATTGAGTTTTATAGAAAAATTAGAAAGGTTGATATTTATGTAAATTGATCGTTAACATTTTTCATATGGAAATTGAAAAATTTAAATCTTTCACCCACTTTCTCTGCTCAAATCTAGTCTTTCATTCGCGAGGTCGGGAAATTTCCGACCTCATTGTCATCTTCAAACGAAAAAAACGTGTACTCCCAGTATTTTTACTCATTTTGTGCAATCTTCACTTATTTCCTCAAAAAAGTTGTGAGCTTTGATGCGTATTTTGCTCATTTTTTCATCGTTCGCTGATATAATTTTTTTCTTAACTACATTTCAAAAACGCAAAATAGTAACAATAAAACTTTGAATAAAATTATTTACAACACAAATTTCATAATTTACAGAGTCTATAGAGAAAGATTATGATAATTCATATACTTATGGACAAATAGAATGCCTAACCCAGCGGAACCCCTCGGTTTTCTTATTCGAATGCGGTGGGAGATCCAAATCGGCGTAGAGTTTCGCGGGTTGATCGCCAGCCCTGAATAAAACAAGTTCAAATCGTTTTGGTTCAATTCATTTCTTCGTCATTAGTTCCATTTTTAGCTCGAAAACCCCACCAGAGTGCTTCCCTCAGAAATCCTGCCATCGTGACCAATATTTTGCTTGTTCTTGTTAGTGAAACCATGGACCGAGTTTGAGTGTCTCTAAAACAAAAGCTATTAAATCTAAAACGTTTAGCAAATGAAAAAAATCAAATTTTAACCGAACCTCCCGATTTCCACAAATATTTCTCCTTGTAGGCACGTTTCGGTTGCGGGGAATTGCTTCGTGATGATGTCCGAGTCGGCGTCCGTGCCCCTCCCGTTCCACCATTTCCATACCATTTCAAAGCTTGCGAAGTCGATTGGATACATCTAAATGCTCAGAAATTGCTTAAAAACCAAAATAAACGAACTCTCGTTTCGCATCATTTGTCACATCATTGGTCGGCAAGGAGAGACTTCTTTCCACAGAACGTCAATTGCATGGAGTTGATTGAATAGCTAAAAAGCTCCGAATTAGACTCCAACTCCAAGCTCCAGTCAAGTTACCTCCAAATGTTGCTCGGGTGATTCACATAGTTTCCCAAATGGAGTGCCAGCTCTTGTGCGACCGTTTGAAATTGTTCGGTTCTAAAAGAAAAATTTGAATTGTTGGATAAAATAGAAATTGTAATTTTTTTCGTAAAAAGATCAAAAAATTTCGCTCCTGGATGGGTTCGAACCATCGACCTTTCGAATTAACAGTCGAACGCGCTACCGATTGCGCCACAAGAGCACGGCGGGTGGGGCGAAAGAAAGATTTAATGAGGGGGAAGGGGAAATGGCCTGGGAGAGGAAAGGGCAGACTCTGGGAAAGAGCAAAAGAGCAAAAAGAGCAGGAAATTGACTTGGGAATAAAGCAGAAATGGCTTTTTTGAAAAAGTTTCAATTAAAAATGTTTCAGGGTCACCTAGATGCAAATTAAGGAAGGTAATTTAAAAGCACAAAGATAGCTTCTTAAAACTATCGCCCCCATAAAAAATCCCTAACCGATTTGCACGCATTCTTCCCCGTCTCTCCATCATTTGCATACGATGGACTGCTCTTTCTCGCCACAAATTCAAGTATCACCTAAAAATATAGAATTTAGAATTTAACGAAGCAAAATTAAAATTCCATGAAAAGAATTACCCCTCTAGCCATATCGAAATCTTCGACCGAAAGCTCGCGTTTCGCCATAAATGGAAAAGAATCTTTCGAATTTCTGAACAAATTTTTAAAGTTTCGCCTACAGAGAGAGCTCAAATCGTAAAATACCTCTTGAAGATTATAAATAACGGTTTGATCCTGCTGAACCGGCCAAAATCGAGTGAGTCTCTTCAGTAATAGGGTTGGTTGATCATTTCTTCCTTGAAGTTGAAGGCATTTTCTGAAAAAATGAGCAATGAAGCGATGCTTGAAACCAATTAGGTTTAGATGTTGGGTTTAGATTATAAAACCTTCAAAGGTACCTCTTTTTTCATTTTCTTCTCAATTGTTTCTACCGAAAGTGTCGTCTCTTTCATCAGACTTTTGAAATCGTTTACACCAGACCCCGGGTATTGGTTTCATTGAGGCTTTTCTTCTGGAGATCTTCGTTATCTAAAAGCATTCAATAATACAATCGCTTATAGCAAACAGTATCTTTAATATTTAACTGACTTTGTTTCGAAATGATCCTTTGTTGAATGTTCATCTTATTTCCACCAGCAGCCATCACCACTTTAGAGATCAATTTCGGACCAACATTTGGTGTCAACGATTCGGCGGCTCCTTGGCGAGAAACCTGAACAAAGTTATATGTTGTTGAAAAGACAATTTAACTTGCAAACCTAAAAGACTCAAAGTTAGCTAATTGATTTATATGTCTACATTCACAAGTACCAGAAAACCTTCTCACCTCAAGCATCGCTTTATTTCGCCCGTTCATCAAATACGACGATAGGGCATGTTGATTGGCGACTGTTCGACTCGGCGAGGCTCACTCTTGATGAATACGATGTAAAGGGAACTAAAAACCATTATTTTAATATTATAAAATAGAGTCGAATAATTTTAGATCAAAATGTGGAACTAGTCTAAATCTAAATCATTAAGGGATAAAGCGTTGATATTTTTCTTTTAAAACCCACTTTAACTTTTAGGATTCTCCCATAGCATTTCACCAAAATGTGGACCCAAACACTGAAAAAGAAAATGGCAAAGAACGACTGGACGGGCGATGGGAAAAGAGGGGCCGGCCGTGTCTTTCGTTTTTCGCGACTATGGTCCCGTAGCCCGGATTAACTCAGTCGGTAAAGCACCAGACTCTTAATCTGGCTGTCGCGGGTTCGAGCCACGCATCAGACTGATGCTTTTTGCCTTTTTCAAAAATTTTATCAAGGTTGCCTTGTTTTTAACATTAATCATTGATTGACTGATCACTAAATTAGAACTTCCTAGATTTCTTTAAAAATTTTTAAGTACTAGCCAAATCCCATCTAGTTTTCGGGTTCGGTGTTGCCCATTGTAGTTTTATTGTCGAATAGACTCCCTTGTTGATCACTGCAAATGGCTCGATGGTTCTAAAAATTGATTGATAAATAAAGGAAAGATTAAATCTAGACCAAGTAATTTGTGTTTTTGTAGCTCTCCAAGGACGTTTTTCGGATGGAAAAGTTCGACATCATAGTTGACCGATTGTCCGGTAATGCTTTCTTCCTGAATTAACTTAGGAATTTGATTTTAAACAAAAATTTTGAATAATGGTTAACATTATCCAAAAGCTATACAGAGCATCAACAGAGTACACTACTTCATCGGTATTCCGGTGATTGTCGTCGAGAACAAGATTGTACAAATCAAGAGTGACAGCATGAACGACCATTTGAATAGCTTCCCCAGTGTCTACAGTGGAAAGGAGTTGAATCTTCACCAATTCGGTATCGTCCGCCCTAGAATAGGAAAGTTTTTAATAATGAAACGCGTTAGACTTGCAACCGCTATCAACTTGAAATCTTAAATCAATTTACTCAAAGCAACTCTTCATAAAAAAATTTTGAACTTTTTAAGTCAGCGAAAAAGGAACTTACCCCTAACCGAGCCTTTTGGTTCCATTCCAAAGAACAGGAATTCGCGACTCGTCGCAAATCTTTTCCTCACTTTTCGCTGCCTCTCCTCACATGGGGGGTATGGCTCAGTGGTAGAGCGCTCAGCTTAGCATGCGAGAGGTCTGGGGTTCAATTACCAGCACCTCCATAAATCTTTTCCTTTCGGGGAATTTTTGAGTTGTGTTCGAGAAGAATGTGCTTTTCCAGTGGATCAGTTAGCTTTTTTACTTTTTAAGTCAAAATTTAAGCAAATGTCCTTAGATCTTGTAGCTTCGGATGACCTTGGAAATCAGATAACCTTGAAAATTTTGTTTTTTTCTCTTTTCAAGTGTACAAAACTTGTGTTTCTTTCAGAAATTACTTAGATATGCCAGCTTTTTCCTTTTTAAGTCAAAATTTAAGCAAAAGTTTAAAAAAAACATCCGAATTTCCCAATAGAAAAGTCCCTTTTCAAAAGCGAAAAGAACCAACAACGAAAGAGAGGGCGTGGCCCAAACGCCGTCGAAAAGAAAAGGCTCCCCGTCGCACACTCTCCCATCCAGCCATGGCTCAGTTGGTAGAGCGGAGGACTGTAGGGGAGGAGCTAGCTATCCTTAGGTCACTAGTTCAGATCCGGTTGGCTGGAGTCTTTTGCATTTTTAGATAATGGCCTGGGTAAAATGATGCAAAGGGAAAAAACACCCCTTTACATTATTTTACAACATTTTCAAGCAAAATTTTCACCGATTGCATTGATTTGTTTTGAAGTGGATTGGCAAGATTTCCCGAGTAAACGTTGATGATATAGCATCGAAGATCCTCGATTGGAGAAAAACTGAATAAAGTAAATTTTAAAAGAAAATCTGTGTCACAGACTTGTCATCACCCAAATTCTTAACAATCAAGTTACGACCCTTCACAATCTCCACAATGTCCGCCTCCGAGACTTTTCAGCTCTTCTTCACTAAAAAGGATTTTAATGTAACAGTATAAGTAAAAATTGTATACCTTTTCAGTAAAGTCATTAGAACGAATTGCGCCTCGATTTGGAATGAATGTTTGAAGAAATTGGTCTCTAAAAACATAAAAAAGTTAAGCGTTCATTACATTGTTACCTCTTTTGCTTGTTTGCTTCCAAATTTCCACCTCTCATCGGGATCGGAACTCGTGGGCGCTTGCCTAAAAAGGAGGGTTCGTTCTACATTACATTACTGTTCTTCATTTTTGCTAATGATACCGTCTATTTGATTCTTGCTTTGATGCTTTTTGTTTCCTTCTCAAAATTTCGTCAGTGTTTCCCGCAAAGTCAGATCAAGGGGTCACCCAAAAAAGAAGGAAAGAGAGGACTGTTTCGAAGTTTGTACTTCTCTCGTCCAATTCTCTCCAAAACCATATCTTTTTGCCTCTTTTCCATTCAATTTTCCCAATTGGCATTCGTCATAATCTTTTCCTTGAGCGAACATCTGTCCCGAGAAGGTACTTCCAGAATTATTTTCGCTGATTCTTGTGTCAGAATTTAGAGCTAACATTTTACCTAATCAGCTGCCTTACTAACAGCTAACAATTCAAAGGTTTACATTAAAAGCAAGAAAATCACCTGATTTCTTGCAGATTTTTCATGAAAAATGAGCCGTCTACAAATGAATTCTATCAAATTTAACCATGGAGATTCCACTATTATTGTACATGGTATCCTCATTTCTCAAGTTTCCCGTTTTCAAAATTTGATTTACGAAAAAGTTTGTCTCAATTTGTACGATGTAAGTCGTTTTTCATTAACAAAACCATCTTTCTTAAGGATCATCGCCTTTGCACAAATGTCACCGCTTACATATGAGGATAAAAATATCCACGAAAAGGCGAATCACATTTATTTTCTCTCTTCCAGTGTCATCTGCTTTCACCATCAATAATTATGACCTTATTCTTGGGTGCAGGTGGGTGAAAGCTTCGTAAGTTTAATAATTTTGTTCAGCCTGTGATATTGGGAGCACAAAAATCCCACTAATCATCCCATTTGTTGGGTTAATTCTATCATCCGTTTTTTACATCATTCAAGCAACCGACACTTTGGAATGGAATGTTTATCTTTTACTGATCAGTGATGCCATATTTGGATTGCTGTGGAGGTTATATTGGAGTCATTGGTAAGTGGGAATTATTGACTAAAATACAGGCAGCAAGTTTGAGAAGCTAATCAAATAATCAATTCCACCAACCATGCATAGCTTTAGGTACTACCATGGCTTACAGTGTAAAAGCAGCAAATCCCCAGTATCGAAGCATCAAGATCCCGCTCTAATGGAGGGATCAATCGGACTCGGTGGAACAGTCGGCTTCGCCTTATCTGGCACTTTAAGGAGGTAAGCGACCAAAAGCTTCTCATCTAAGCCACTCGAAATCTAGCTTTGTTATTCGAAGCTCAATCGGATGTACGTGGAGTTTCTTAATTCAAATGATCTGCCAAGTGCTTGCGTTTCTCTATATCATCACTTTCGCATAAAGAGTTGAATGAGACTCGGAATGAAGAAGAGATTAATGAGCATGAAATCGATGCGATACTTGACAAGGAGATTAATCGTTAATTGAGTCTATCTGGGAAAGTTCTGGGAATTTATCCGCACGAATCGTCGAAATTCTTTACGGATTCTACGCGTTGCTTATCCGAGGACGAGAATTCCAATTGCTGTTGTGGTTATGTTTGGGAGCACTGGGATTAGAGCTTTTGATATTCGCCGGTTTGATGGACATTCAATACTCATTTCTTCGTTACAAACTTCGGATGGGGAGATAAAGAATATGGGTGGTTTAGCGGTTTATCCTATGGAACGACGACTGCAGCTGTAAGTACAAGAATAGAAATGGAAACTTGTTTCAGGTCTTGATAATCTATCCACATTCAAAGCTAAAAGGATGGACGGATAGCCTGTTGAGGAAGTCTTGGAATTTTCTTGAAGGTACTTAAACTATAAAAGGAGTAAGAACTGTAAAACAAATCAAAAATTTAGACGATATCATTATGCGTTTTTGCCTTCGCTATCCACTCCATGGATGGCCTACACAGTTACGGTGCTAACAATTGGCAATCGTTTTGTTTCCACCGGTTTCCGTGCATTCATCAGTAATCTTGTACAGGAAAATGAGCAAGGTAAAGAAATCCGAGGAATTTGGGGCCAACCTATCCAGGAGATTCATCAAAAATTCTCTTTCAGGCAAAGTCTTTTCATTGATCGTTTTTCTTGAAGGAGTTACAAGTTTGGCAGCCACAACGATCTACAACAATCTCTATCCAAAAACATTGCCGATCTTCAAAGGAATGATGATTCTTATATCAGCCGGTCTACTGTTGCCATGTTTATGCACTTTAATGTAAGTTAGATGAAATTAAACCGATCAGCGTCAGCTTTCAGGTATCGGTCACGTAGTAGTACAAAAGTCAATGACCCGAGTTCGAGATCAGAAGCCTCAAGAAACACCTACCAGCAGTACACAATGATGGTGTGTAGTTGAAAAATGATAAATTATTTGATTACTGTATCTTCGTCTTTGTGCTACTGTTTATTTTTCAAACAAACCTTGTCCCGGTCGATTCCCCATTTTCTGAGCTGTATCGATCGCTTTCCTGTAGGCATTCGTCTTCTGTGAGAGGGCATCCACAGCCATTCGGACACCTTAAAATGGTGATATAAGAAATAAACTTCAAATTGATCTAAGGCGCCTGAGCTTTAAAAACTATGAAAGAGCTCTTAGACTTGAATTTTGCCCATAAGTTACACTATAGTTACTAGTAAAAACAAATACCATTGAGTATCGACGAATCTTCACTTGTCAACGGTTTGCCGGCCGATTTGATGCTCTCATGCAACTAAAAAAAACTGAATTCAAATTTCAAACAAAAACAAACCTCATTTCTTGAGATCAAACTATCGCCCCATTGTTTCATTACATCAAACGTGTCACTCGTTAGGAAGCAGCCCACAAAATCCGATAAAACGAAGCGCATCAATTTGTTCTAAGGCAGTAAAAGCTACTTATTAAAATCATTTGCTTATTGAGAAGCTATTCACTAAATATTATATTTTTATACTCTGCAAAACATCAACTTATATTGTTCGGGGAAAACATCGCTAACAATACGATGCATCTCGAGGGCACATTCAAAAGCTAGCGACCACACACTTTTCTCGATGGTCGCAACCTAAATAAAATTTTAGATGACAAAAAGATGTTCTTTTCTTGCTTTTCAGTTCACATACACATTTTGAATGTATCCACCAATAACACCCTGAAATTTCTGCTTGTTCCCGGCAGGCTCCTTCCCGTGAATGGGCAGCTTCTAAGTAAAATCAAAAAAAAAAAATAAAAAAAAGAATTTAAGTATGCTTTTATTGGTATTTTAGGAGTTGAGAATAACAGTATAAAGCTCAAAAATACTTACTTCAGAGGCGCCGATTCCAAATCGTGGTCCATGATCAAGCACGACGACCACTTTATGGTCAGCTCCGAGTGGTTTCGGCTTTCCAACAAACGATTTTCCCATCCAAAAGAAAAAAAAGTGTTAAGTTCTGTTAAACGAGACGACCGAGCGTGAAAACTCGAAATGTAAAAACGGTAAAATTTTTTCTAATTTGTGTGAAAAGCTGCCATTGATTCAAAAGGTAACTTTAGACTTGGCGCATTTTAACGATCGACATAGAAATGGAAGAGATGCCATACCAAGTATGGTGTTTGCGTGACAATGAAGGATGACTCAATGGTGTGAGCCGCGATGGCGCGTGGAGGCTGAAACAAAGATATTGGCAAAGTTAGGGCAGACTTTGGATTATCCTTGAGCGTTTCGATAAACTCCTGAACAAGGCATAAAAATTTTCAAAATCATATATTGGCCTTGATTTTTGTCTTATATTTGTGCAAATTGTGCTATGTAATCGCTTGGAAATCGCCTCGAAATCAGTCTGGAGTTTTCTGGATAACGGAAAAGCAAGCTAAATTTTAACTTTTTACAAGTGCCCAAATTTTTCGCTTTCCTATCACAATTCCGTGAAACTAGTAGCATTCTTGAAATTAACATAGCTGCTGAGGGGAACCTCTAGAGATTTATGAAAAGAAAAGAGAATCAACTAAAATTACCATTTTTGAAAGCCGCAAATGTCATTAATCCCTTGTGCAGCTCAGAAGAAAATTTTTCGTGTTTCGATTAATGGAGCTTGTAAATTTACGGATAGTTCACGCACCTAAAACGAAAGGGTAGTTTGTATATAGTTATCTGCGTTAATAGCAAGGTTCAATTTCCGCTTATAAATCACTGAATCAACCGAAAATTTAGATGCTTTATCAGCCCAACCTCCTTTTCCAACAATGTGAATGAGTTATTGTCCACGATGGCTCTTATATGCACAAAGTTCTACAAATCTAAACGAATAAGATTCATCAAATTTAAACACCAAATTACTCACAGAAATACATTTGATGCAGTGAAACATGTCGTCACCAATATACTAAAAATTAACGTGAATTATGGCAGTGTTGGCTTATACCGATCTATCCCACTCGGGAAACGAAAATTTTCATTTCACTCCATCTGACGCGTCATTTCGAACAACCCATCCAAGAAATCTAAATAAAGACTAGAAATCAAACAAAGTTTTGGTACCCATGAAACTGATATTTCCGTCCCATCACAGTTTGCAAGGATACCCACGTTACAAACTGAGCAAATGATCCTATATGGCCATTTGTTGCTCTGATTTTGATCCTAGAATTTCATGTTTTCAAATAACACTCCGCACAAATGATGCAGTTGCAATTAAGAGTGAATGATTTCTTTCCATCAATCTCATTAGAATTTATATAAAAAAAATAAATCAAAAATCAAATGCATCAAACCCACATTCATCGTGATAAATGGGATTTTTGAACGACTAGAAAGAAACTCTATTGTAAAAATAATGTTACCTTTAAAAGCAAATATCCACAGCCCATTTGAACCAGGAATCGTTTTGTGATAAAACATCTAAAAATCCCAATTTGAAATCAAGCCACAGTGCTTAAAAATTTTTCAAAGTAGGATAAAAACATACCTATCAAAACGTAAGCAAATTTTTCGTTATTGAGACAATCATTCCCTTGATTACATTGATGTTTCTTTTTATCTTTCTCTATCGACTTCTACTTCTCAGGAAGCTGTTCGCTGCACATTGCCAATCCATATTGCAAATCCCGTGAGATCGAGTCTGTTTTGCGACCGAGACAACTAAAAGGTTATGCAACAATTATTTTAGTTTCTCCAAAGAGTTGAAATTAACTACAAGTAAATTGCCACAAAATGAGCATTTCTCACCATATTTTGCCCTTAACTCTTACAAAGTAGCAAGAAAATATTGCCAAAAGTTTCAAGAAAAAACTAAAAGATCCAGCACTCGCAGGCACCTAATAAAATTAAAAATTAGCTTTATTAGTAAAATTAACAAAACTTACCTGGCTCATTGCAAAGAATGCAATTCAACGATTTGAATACCGTCATTTAAAAAATCCCTATACAAATAGAAACTCGACTCAACTCTTTATCAAAGTAAATAATATCAGCCGAAATCGTGATTTGGATTAAACTAACCCAAGTTGAGAAATGATTTATTGTTAATCAATGTGACGATATGCAAAAAATCAACCGGATCAAGCTTTAAAAATAGCAAGTTAATCAAAGTTATTTATGGTTCTGCTTTTACTCGTTTCCGTCGTGCTGGTGGCTTCGGATCAACAACAGTGTCACTTTCTCCTTTCATCTTCTCCAGGTGGAGTGAATTCAGTTTTCCTATTTTCCGTTCGGGGGCTGTGGTGCCTCATCTCGTTTCCCCGATTTGCTTCTGATTCCCCTCTTCTCGCTTCGCCAACAATTCCCCAAATTCACCATCTGGCAGGAAGAAATCGTTTTGGCAGAGCAGCAGCTCGGGTGTCGACTCATTGCTTTCGATGGCTTCCATATCGTAGAAAGTTTTCAACTTTGTTCTGATATCTTCGGACGTAGGACGAATCTTGTATTTGGGTTTGAAGATCAGAATCCCATTTCAAATTTTCAACTCCACCGTGTTGTCGACGATTCACCAATTCTTGAAGGTCATCGTCCAGTTAGTAGATCCTCAAAATCAGTATCCTCGTCTTCGTACACATTGTTCATGTATGAGATTGAGCATTGCCATATGATAGTGTTTCATGAGCGCCGGCTGGTTTGTGTTCAAGTAACTTCTTGAAAAGTCGTTTTCCGATAGTTCACACCAGCAGTCAGTCTTCGAGTCACTTTCCTCGTATGTGAGAATGGATGCTCGTTTGAGATCTGGGTGAAAGAATCGCTGTCGGATATTCTCTTCATTTCCTTCTACATCAAGCGCTTGCTCCTCTTGCAATTGAACACCCTCATCAGAACCTTTTATCTCCATCTAAAATTTGATAACATTAAAAAAATCAGGAACATTAAGATTTTGTTTAAAAACAAGACTAATGCCTATCTCGCCGCGTTTAATAACAAAAGATTTTCTTTATTTGAACTCCTAACAGACGTTACCAAAGACTGACTAACAGATAAACTTTATTCAAAAAACAAAATCAACCGGTTTTAAGAAGAAAAGAGAAGCGAAAGAATCACCGGATAATGGAGACGGAAACTGTTGACAAGAAATTTCACGAAGCACTTTAAACAAAAAAATGGCGAAGCAATTTGAGCCAGGAATGCAGAAGTTAAAAAACTCGGCTTTGCTAAAGAGATCTCAAATTTCTGTCTTGATTCAAATTTAAGTAAACAAACAATGAAAAATATACATAACCACTACCAAAAATTAAGCGCTGGAAGAATACGAAAGAAATCTTGGATGTTGTTGGGCGTGAAGAATTTGCTTTTCGTGTTTGTTCTCAGCCAAAGCCTAAAAAGATTATCTTTAAAATTTTTGAGAAATACCTAACCTGTTGATATCTCCAAAAATTCGTTCGTACCGGATCGATCTCCTCAAGCTCCTTGCAGAGACTAAAAGCATGGAATTTTACTGAGAACTTGACAACCTTTGAGTGTTTTAACGTTCCAACTCTACCTGTTTAGCCCTGGTCACATGTCATAAGACCACCATCAAGACCCTTCCTTCGATTTTCTCCATCTCGATATCCAACAGGAATGGAAACGAGATAATGTGCACTAAAAAATACATTAAGTAGGTATTCGCTAGGATAATAAAGCTCAAACCAATAAATTCAAACAAACCGGTTCTCCGTTTCGCTATATAACTTTTCAGCCCATTCAATGACATCTGGCCGTGAAATAAGCCCACCAGAGATCAAAAGCCTAGGAAAAATTGGGTGTATATCTAAAGAAAGACAATTACCCGGCCAAATAGTTCCAAACACCTCTCGTTGTGGGTGAGCTTGCCCGCAATCTGTTTGCAGAAACTAAAAAGGATACGTAATAGCTTACAAGGCTAAACAGACTTGATTTCAATATCAAGTGTCTCCTTTGATGATCAATCTTCTCCCACAACTGTGGGGATGAAATAACGATAGTTCCAAGCGGAAATTGTTATGACGAATCCTGAATAAGGATTTGAACGTAAATAATATCGAGTGCTTACCTCGAGAAGCTGCTTTGTTGTATAGTCAATCTCTCGTTGGCCGACCAAATGGGAAATGACGGACTGACCCATTGACGATGTTGCCACCCCGTGATTGATTCTTTGGCTCATCATCGAACACGGCAGCAGTGAAATCCAACTCATCACCTACAAATTAAAGATTGTTTTCATAAGTCTGTAGCTACAAAGGGATGCTTGAAAAGCCAACCATACGTTTTCGGCCCATTATAATTTTTAAAGCGCGGTGAAAAAAGACTTTTACCTGGATTGCCGATCCATCAACAAGGTGTGCGGCGGTGATGCCCTAAAGGAACAAATTGAACATGAATTTCATTAAAACTCTTACCAAACTTGATAATTCTTTGGATTTTCCATGATATTATCACCGATGAAACGCAGCATCAGCTTTCAAATCGTGTCCGAGAGCCTTCAATAAGTCGCGGCGATATTGCCTAGAAAGATGCATTGCTTCAAAGACCATTAACGCTTACCAGACAGTGTAGTTGGCAGCATTCAACTGAATACAATCATTGGTGAGTTGAAAACATCGCTCCGAGATTTCCTTCTTTTGTAAAACAGCACTTGAAGATAGGAGAAAGCATCAACAACTAAACAAATTAAATCATATTAGCGTTAACAAGATTACTTGATTTATGCTTTCTTTCGGCAATATTTTTCATAATCTGGTAGATCTAATATTAAATAACAAAGAACTCATCCGTTTACTTCTTTTGCGTTTACACTTTGAAACAAATGTACGTTACTTTTAAAGTAGCAATATCGTGGATGGAATTAGTTAGCGTCGTCTGAAAAAACGCAACCAAAGCGATAAACAATTACCAGCAAAATTCAGGGTTATGGGATTTTCTCAAAACAGTAGTGTTCTTGGCCTGATAAGACTTCCCACACTGGGTTTAACCCAAATAAATAAGGAAAAAAGTCAGAAAAGGCTTTTCGCTGGGTTTCGAACATTTTTCAAATCCCACATCCATTCACTATGTAGATGCGGAGTTTAGGGGACTCTCTAAAACCCTAGTGTTATGATGCTCCATAAAACAACTAAGGTTTTTATAGAACTAACTAAAAATGATCGGGGGATAGTTCCATCAGCTTCAGCAATTCTCGATCACCCAAAAATAAAGCCATGAATCCGAAGTTCGTCTAGTCATTGATTTGTGGAAAACCAGTCATGAAGTCGGTTAATCGAAGAAAACCGGGGCATCTTGGAAGAAAATAAATATTTTTCTTTTTCACAAATGTAAATTTTTGTAATATAGTAATAATAAGCACCACCAAAACACCAAGCCTAAGAGAGTCCCATAAACTTCTACATCTATGCAGTAAAGTATATGGGGTTTTCAAAAAATGCCCTAAACCAGGGGAGAAACCTTTTCCGACTTTTTTTTCTTGCTTCTTTGGATTAAACTCTCAGTGTTGGAAGGTTTTAGGTAAAGAAAACGCTGTTTTGAGAAAATCTCATAAACTTAAGATTGTGCCCAATTCTCCCATAAATTACTCACAAGCTTCTCCGGCATCGAATTCGCACAATAGTGTTCTCTTCGGGTGTCCGGAAGAATCAGGTGTGATGTCCGCCCAATCATCACGATCTCGATAGAATGGCGACGATTTCACTTCGGTTAATTCACTCATCTGGAGAAATCGACAATTAAGATCAGTTGGACAAAATGGGGGAAAACGAAGATGATTTTTGATTAAAAGGCAAGTATCGATGTGTTTGTGGATAAAGTGGTGATAAACTATAAACTAAATCCAAAGGAATTAAAAGAAACAGGGGAGCTTGACTAAAAATCATAAAAACAAACAAATGTCAATAAATATCTGTAAAAATTGATTCAAAACTTCCGAAGTTTTTCAAGAATAACGACTAGATGTTCTTGATTGTAAGATGAATAATCAAAAACTGGAGGTGCTAGCAAAAGCAAAAAGCGTTACGTTTCATTTGCGCCTGTGTCATTTGCGCCAAATTGACGCTTATTGAAAATCACTGTAACAAATCAATTTTTCCCAACTTCTAACCAACTTCTTACAGTTTCTGCTTCACAATTTTAGTTCTCATTGTTTTCAATTAGAAAACACGTTTAAATCTCTATAAATACTCCAAAAACAGTCACTTTTGTGTCCCCCGATTAGACTTTTGCTCTTTATATCGATTTAATGTCATTTTCAATTCAAGCAAGGGCGCCAAAGTAAGCGAGCACCGTCGAGCGAGAAAAGTAGGAAAAAATAAAAATAAACAATCATAGTTGGTAGGAAAGTGTGTTGAAAAGAGCAAATTTGGCGCCAAATGAAATTGGCACAAAAAATTTGGTGTAAATGTTACATGGAGCAAATAATTTGGCGCTTTTGCTAGCACCTCAAAAATTGCCGTAATCAAAAAAGATTTAAAAAAAAATTATGTTTATAGGCATTTTCAGATGCTAAGCTATTCAACCCTTTAACTGAATATCTTGCGAAATCACTATAAGCGCATTATTTAACTAAGGAACGTGGCTGAATATCTTTACAAGCAATAATTTTTTTCATTACATAACAAAAAAAAATTTTTGTTTGAGCGCCGAATTTACCTTTCTCTGTCCCTCTCGTATTCCGCTCAATCTCTCGTTATTGTTGGGGACAAACTATAGAGAATTTTCATTTCTACATTCCCCTGCGTAAAGCATATAAAAATACCCAGCACAAAATTGATTTGTTCCACCAAGGGATTTTGAGTTGAGAAAATTTCTCAGTTTTGTGTTTGAATTATTGATTTTGTTTGCCATTGTAAGCTGTTTCCGATGAGATTTCTGACAAATTTATGCTGAATTTTGGACGGAGTTAAATCAAAATTTTCATCAAAAGCAATTTCAAGGAAATTTCCTTGTAACGGGCTCATTGTCGGCTGGGTTTAAGTGATTTTTGCATGACATTCGACTTGGAAAAATCCCGCTATTATAGTTAAAACGAAGAATTCACGGGGGTGGGACAAATGCTACCTTTTTTTTGGCACCTTTTTTGCTGGAAAAGGCCTTAGGAAACGTCGTAGAGCTTCAAAATGTTTTCATAGAAGGGGATCGTATACGTAGATTCAGAATTTTGGCAAATCAGACCTCGCTGACACGTCAAATTTGGGCTAAAAGGTAAAAACTACGCAACTTAACGCTTTTCCGCGGTTTTTGCCTTTTAGCTGAAATTCAGCGTGTCAGGCGAGGTCTGATCTATCGAAATTCGGAATCTACGCATACAGTCCCTTATATGGAAGCCTATTTTCGAAGCTCCACAGTCTTACCTAAAAGGCCTTTTCCAGCATAAAGGTCGCATTTAATCCCACCCCAGAATTCACATTCTACTATCCGAGAACCGTGTGAATATCGTGTGCATTTGTATTTTAACGATCACAGAAAGCATGGTAGTTTGGTGGTTGTCAAAAATTGGCGCGTTTTCGGAAACGTAGTAGATCCCATTGCTAAGCTTTGCCAAACCATGGTGACTCTCCAAATTGATCTCCCGAATTCATTTTTCTGATCTGGAGGTCTGGAAACCAAGGGTCAGGCTTTCTTTTTGTGATTTCTCCTATAATTGTTCACTTTTTGTGTCCTCTTTTTGTGTTTTTGAACCTTATCAAATGATGGGAAATGGAGAAAAAGAGTCTTATCTTTTCTAGAAAACGTCGATTTTCTCTTTTTGCCGGCTTTTCACGCAAATAAACCCCTTGATTTCGATAATTTTGCCTGGTCTTGTCTTTAGAAATTCCACGAAAGTCAGCACTTTTGCTTTAGTAAAAAGATCACTGATCTAGCTTAAAGTTTCGAATTTCATCATTTAGAAGCTTTTAGATTTTATTGCCTCGTTTTCTTGCCTGTGTTGAAAAGCTCTCAATTTCAATTTTTTTAATCTATAAAAAGTACCTTTGTTCAAAGATATTCAGTTAAAGAGGCTTTTGTGAAATTCCCGAAGAGCTTTTAGTACTTTTTAGTACTTTTAGTACTCTTTTTTGTACTTTTGTACTTTTTTTGATTAAACAAAAGATATTTAGTGTCAATTATATCTTTTTTAATATAGAAATACTTTTATCTGTAGTTATTCAAAAATTTTCCAGATTCCCCATCTCTTCATGGGTTTCTTCAGCTCGACCGACGATCATTTTCCATTTCGGATCAAATTCAATCAAGAAACCGATCGCGCTTTCGCCTATATTCTTTCCACTCTTTACAATGTGACATTTTTCGTGCAATTCATGGCTTACGGATACATCGCAAAAGATCTTCAAATAGCGAAATACGCATAATGGTGGGTTTGAAATAGACATGGGCATTTCTAGTAAAATGGCACTCTTGCGTCTTTTTCACAAATCGATACCGTAGAAAAAGTACAAAAACTCTTCTCAAAACTAGACATGGACCCTACAAAACTACAAGGTCAGACTCATAAACCCTTGTAGAATTGCGTAGAATGATATTTTTAAAACTCTTTATAAAAAATCAGACCAACTTTAGACTTTCGAACGACAATAAAACCAAGAAAATCCACAATTTGTACATCGAGAACCAGGGATTTTATTTAGCCGTTTGTAGTCTCGTCCCACGAGACAAAACTACAAACTTGAGAAAAAAAGCATTATATCTCAAGTGCAGAGAAAATGGTTTGGCTTGATTTTGGTGTCATTCGAAAGCCTAAAGTTGGCC